ACACTGCACCATAGACTCAACACTGCACCATAGACTCAACACTGCACAATAGACTCAACACTGCACCATAGACTCAGCACTGCACCATAGACTCAACACTGCACCATAGACTCAGCACTGCACCATAGACTTAACACTGCACCATAGACTCAACACTGCACCATAGGACTCAACACTGCCCATAGACTCAACACTGCACCATAGACTCAACACTGCCCATAGACTCAACACTGCCCATAGACTCAACACTGCACCATAGACTCAACACTGCACCATAGACTCAACACTGCACCATAGACTCAACACTGCCCATAGACTCAACACTGCCCATAGACTCAACACTGCGCCATAGACTCAGCACTGCACCATAGACTCAACACTGCACCATAGACTAAACACTGCACCATAGACTCAACACTGCACCATAGACTCAACACTGCACCATAGACTCAACACTGCACCATAGACTCAACACTGCCCATAGACTCAACACTGCACCATAGACTCAACACTGCACCATAGACTCAGCACTGCACACAGACTTAACACTGCACCACAGACTCAACACTGCACCATAGATTCAACACTGCACCATAGACTTAACACTGCACCATAGACTCAACACTGAACCATAGACTCAACACTGCACCATAGACTCAACACTGCCCATAGACTCAACACTGCACCATAGACTCAACACTGCACCATAGACTCAACACTGCACCATAGACTCAACACTGCCCCATAGACTCAACACTGCACCATAGACTCAACACTGCACCATAGACTCAACACTGCCCATAGACTCAACACTGCCCATAGACTCAACACTGCACCATAGACTCAGCACTGCACCATAGACTCAACACTGCACCATAGACTTCAACACTGCACCATAGACTCAACACTGCACCATAGACTCAACACTGCACCATAGACTCAACACTGCACCATAGACTCAGCACTGCACCATAGACTCAACACTGCATCATAGACTCAACACTGCTCCATAGACTCAACACTGCACCATAGACTCAACACTGCACCATAGACTCAACACTGCACCATAGACTCAACACTGCACCATAGACTCAGCACTGCACCATAGACTCAACACTGCACCATAGACTCAACACTGCACCATAGACTCAACACTGCCCATAGACTCAACACTGCCCATAGACTCAACACTGCACCATAGACTCAACACTGCACCATAGACTCAACACTGCACCATAGACTCCACACTGCACCATAGACTCAGCACTGCACATACAGACTTAATACTGCATCACAGACTCAACACTGCACCATAGACTCAAGCACTGCACCATAGACTCAACACTGCATCATAGACTCAACACTGCTCCATAGACTCAACACTGCACCATAGACTCAACACTGCACCATAGACTCAACACTGCCCCATAGACTTCAACACTGCGCATAGACTCAACACTGCACCATAGACTCAAGCACTGCACCATAGACTCAACACTGCACCATAGACTCCACACTGCACCATAGACTCAAGCACTGCACAACAGACTTAAACACTGCACCACAGACTTAACACTGCACCATATACTCAACACTGCACCATAGACTCAACACTGCACCATAGACTCAACACTGCACCATAGACTCAACACTGCACCATAGACTCAACACTGCACCATAGACTCAACACTGCACCATAGACTCAACACTGCACCATAGACTCAACACTGCACCATAGACTCAACACTGCACCATAGACTCAACACTGCCCATAGACTCAACACTGCACCATAGACTCAACACTGCACCATAGACTCAACACTGCCCATAGACTCAACACTGCACCATAGACTCAACACTGCACCATAGACTCAACACTGCACCATAGACTCAACACTGCCCATAGACTCAACACTGCACCATAGACTCAACACTGCACCATAGACTCAACACTGCACCATAGACTCAGCACTGCACCATAGACTCAACACTGCACCATAGACTCAGCACTGCACATAGACTCAACACTGCACCATAGACTCAACACTGCACCATAGACTCAACACTGCACCATAGACTCAACACTGCACCATAGACTCAACACTGCCCATAGACTCAACACTGCCCATAGACTCAACACTGCACCATAGACTCAACACTGCACCATAGACTCAACACTGCACCATAGACTCAACACTGCCCATAGACTCAACACTGCACCATAGACTCAACACTGCGCCATAGACTCAACACTGCACCATAGACTCAACACTGCACCATAGACTCAACACTGCACCATAGACTCAACACTGCACCATAGACTCAACACTGCACCATAGACTCAACACTGCACCATAGACTCAACACTGCCCATAGACTCAACACTGCACCATAGACTCAACACTGTACCATAGACTCAGCACTGCACCATAGACTTAACACTGCACCATAGACTCAACACTGCACCATAGACTCAACACTGCACCATAGACTCAACACTGCCCATAGACTCAACACTGAACCATAGACTCAACACTGCACCATAGACTCAACACTGCCCATAGACTCAACACTGCACCATAGACTCAACACTGCACCATAGACTCAACACTGCACCATAGACTCAGCACTGCCCATAGACTCAACACTGCACCATAGACTCAACACTGCACCATAGACTCAACACTGCCCATAGACTCAACACTGCCCCATAGACTCAACACTGCACCATAGACTCAAGCACTGCACCATAGACTCAACACTGCACCATAGACTCCACACTGCACCATAGACTCAGCACTGCACTACTAGACTAATACTGCACCACAGACTCAACACTGCACCATAGACTCAGCACTGCACCATAGACTCAACACTGCATCATAGACTCAACACTGCTCCATAGACTCAACACTGCACCATAGAGTCAACACTGCACCATAGACTCAACACTGCACCATAGACTCAACACTGCGCGTAGACTCAACACTGCACCATAGACTCAGCACTGCACCATAGACTCAACACTGCACCATAGACTCCACACTGCACCATAGACTCAGCACTGCACAACAGACTTAACACTGCACCATCAGACTCAACACTGCACCATAGACTCAACACTGCACCATAGACTCAACACTGCACCATAGACTTAACACTGCACCATAGACTCAACACTGCACCACAGACTCAACACTGCACCATAGACTCAACACTGCACCATAGACTTAACACTGCACCATAGACTCAACACTGCACCATAGACTCAACACTGCACCATAGACTCAACACTGCACCATAGACTCAACACTGCACCATAGACTCAACACTGCACCATAGAGTCAACACTGAGACTCAACACTGCACCATAGACTCAACAGTGCACCATAGACTCAACACTGCACCATAGACTCAGCACTGCACCATAGACTCAACACTGCACCATAGACTCCACACTGCACCATAGACTCACCACTGCACAACAGACTTAACTCTGCACCACAGACTCAACACTGCACCATAGACTCAACACTGCACCATAGACTCAACACTGCACCATAGACTTAACACTGCACCATAGACTCAACACTGCACCACAGACTCAACACTGCACCATAGACTCAACACTGCACCATAGACTCAACACTGCACCATAGACTCAACACTGCACCATAGACTCAACACTGCACCATAGACTCAACACTGCACCATAGACTTAACACTGCACCATAGACTCAACACTGCACCATAGACTCAACACTGCACTATAGAGTCAACACTGAGACTCACCACTGCACCATAGACTCAACACTGCACCATAGACTCAACACTGCACCACAGACTCAACACTGCACCATAGACTCAACACTGCACCATAGACTCAACACTGCACCATAGACTCAACACTGCCCATAGACTCAACACTGCACCATAGACTCAGCACTGCACCATAGACTCAACACTGCACCATAGACTCAACACTGCCCCATAGACTCAACACTGCACCACAGACTTAACACTCCACCATAGACTCAACACTGTCCCATAGACTCAACACTGCACCATAGACTCAACACTGCACCATAGACTTAACACTGCACCATAGACTCAACACTGAGACTCAACACTGCACCATAGACTCAACACTGCACCATAGACTTAACACTGCACCATAGACTCAACACTGCACCATAGACTCAACACTGCACCATAGACTCAGCACTGCACCATAGAGTCAACACTGAGACTCAACACTGCACCATAGACTCAACACTGCACCATAGACTCAACACTGCACCATAGACTCAACACTGCACCATAGACTCAACACTGCACCATAGACTCAGCACTGCACCATAGACTCAACACTGCACCATAGACTCAGCACTGCACAACAGACTCAACACTGCACCATAGACTCAGCACTGCACCATAGACTCAACACTGCCCATAGACTCAACACTGCACCATAGACTCAACACTGCACCATAGACTCAACACTGCACCACAGACTCAACACTGCACCATAGACTCAACACTGCACCATAGACTCAACACTGCACCACAGACTCAACACTGCACCATAGACTCAACACTGCACCATAGACTCAAAACTGCACCATAGACTCAACACTGCACCATAGACTTAACACTGCCCATAGACTCAACACTGCACCATAGACTCAGCACTGCACCATAGACTCAACACTGCACCATAGACTCCACACTGCACCATAGACTCAGCACTGCACAACAGACTTAACACTGCACCACAGACTCAACACTGCACCATAGACTCAACACTGCACCATAGACTCAACACTGCACCATAGACTCAACACTGCACCATAGACTCAACACTGCACCATAGACTCAACACTACACCATAGACTCAACACTACACCATAGACTCAGCACTGCCCCATAGACTCAGCACTGCCCCATAGACGACCATCTGGGAGGTAGTTGTGGTTTCCGCTTTGGAGAGGTGGACTCACAGGTCAAAGACGAGGAAGATGACTGTGGACGACTCGAAGCAGTCGATGAGCTGAACTGTGAACGACACCCACGGAGTCCACCACCACCACAAAGTCAACCACCACCAGGGTCAACCACCACCAGTCAACCATCATCAGTCAACCAATCACCAACACCACAGTCAATCACCACCACCACAGTCAATCACCACAGAGTGAGTGAGCAAGTGAGTGAGTGAGTGGGTGGGTGAGCAAGTGAGTGAGTGAGTAAGTGGGTGAGTGAGTGAGTGGGTGAGTGGGTGAGTGAGTGAGTGAGCGGGTGGCTGAGTGAATGAGTGGGTGGGTGGGTGGGTGAGTGAGTGGGTGGGTGGGTGAGTGAGTGGGTGGGAGGGTGAGTGAGTGAGTGGGTGAGTGAGTGGGTGGGTGAGTGAGTGAGTGGGTGAGTGAGTGGATGCGTGGGCGAGCGTGTGGGTGAGTGAGTGGGTGGGTGAGTCAGTGGGTGAGTGGGTGGGTGAGTGAGTGAGTGAGCGAGCGGGTGAGCGAGCGGGTGGGTGAGTGAGTGAGTGTGTGAGTGAGCGAGTGAGTGAGTGAGTGAGTGAGCGAGCGAGTGAGTTAACAATTGTGTGAGTGAGTGTGTGAGTGAGCGAGTGAGTGGGCGAGCGAGTGAGTGAGCGAGTGAGTGAGCGAGTGAGTGAGTGAGTGTGTGAGTGAGTGAGCGAGTGAGTGGGCGAGCGAGTGAGTGGGTGGGTGAGTGGGTGAGTGAGTGAGTGGTTGGGCGAGCGAGTGGGTGAGTGAGTGAGTGAGTGGGTAGGTGAATGAGTGAGCGAGCGAGCGGGTGGGTGAGCGAGTGAGTGAGTGAGCGAGTGGGTGAGCGACTCACTGATGTGAGGGTGTCCGGCCACGCATCTCAGGATGTCCACCTCGGTGTGGGTGGAGCTGCGGATCTCCTCCACCTGCTCAGCGTCCAGCAGCTCGGCCGCCAGGTCGATGATCTTCACCGCAAACTCCCCGCCGGTCGCCTTGCTCACACAGCGCCTCACCACGCTGCTCACGCCCCTACAACCACCACAACCACAACCACCACCACGCTAGTCACACCCCTACACCACCACCACCACCACGTGGCTCACACAGCGCCTCACCACGCTGCTCACACCCCTACACCATCACCACAACCACCACAACTACAACCACCACCACCACCACCACCACAACTACTATCACAACCACCACAACTACAACCACCACCACGTGGCTCACACAGCGCCTCACCACGCTGCTCACACCCCTACAACCACAACCACTACCACACTAGTCACCACCACCACCACGCCAGTCACCACCACCACCACCACCCCCACCACCACCACCACACTAGTCACCACGCTAGTCACCACCACCACCACCACACTAGTCACCACCACCACCACACTAGTCACCACCACCACCACACTAGTCACCACCACCACCACACTAGTCACCACCACACTAGTCACCACCACCACCACCACACTAGTCACCACCACCACCACACTAGTCACCACCACCACCACACTAGTCACCACCACCACCACCACCACACTAGTCACCACCACCACACTAGTCACCACCACCACCACACTAGTCACCACCACCACACTAGTCACCACCACCACACTAGTCACCACCACCACCACACTAGTCACCACCACCACACTAGTCACCACCACCACCACACTAGTCACCACCACCACCACCACCACACTAGTCACCACCACCACACTAGTCACCACCACCACCACACTAGTCACCACCACACTAGTCACCACCACCACACTAGTCACCACCACCACACTAGTCACCACCACACTAGTCACCACCACCACACTAGTCACCACCACACTAGTCACCACCACCACCACACTAGTCACCACCACACTAGTCACCACCACCACACTAGTCACCACCACCACCACACTAGTCACCACCACCACACTAGTCACCACCACCACACTAGTCACCACCACCACCACACTAGTCACCACCACCACCACACTAGTCACCACCACCACCACCACACTAGTCACCACCACCACCACCACACTAGTCACCACCACCACCACACTAGTCACCACCACCACCACACTAGTCACCACCACCACCACACTAGTCACCACCACCACCACACTAGTCACCACCACCACCACACTAGTCACCACCACCACCACCACACTAGTCACCACCACCACACTAGTCACCACCACAATAGTCACCACCACCACCACACTAGTCACCACCACCACCACTTGCTCACCTGCCCAGGATTTCCTTGGGGTTGTACTTTTGGTAGAATTCCGAGGCTCCAACCCTGTCGGGTAGCGAATCCTCCTCACCCAGACCCAGCGTCATCGCTGCTGATGATGATGATGCTGCTGATGATGCTGCTGATGATGATGCTGATGATGCTGCTCAGAATAAAAAGACGACATGACAGGAGTGCAAAGTGCACGTGAGTACATCACCCAAAATCACCCAACAATAAACACGGAGAATATAAACATCGTGCATGAACTCACATTGCCTAAGTACATGCTGATGATGATGATGGTGCTGCTGATGATGATGATAATGATGCTGATGCTGCTGCTGATAATGATGATGCTGATTATGATGATGACGCTGCTGATGATAATGATGCTGATGATGCTGCTGCTGATGATGCTGCTGATGATAATGATGATGCTGCTGATGATAATAATGATGCTGTTGATGATGCTGTTGATGATGCTGCTGTTCATAATGCTGTTGATGATGCTGTTGATGATGCTGCTGTTGATAATGCTGTTGATGATGCTGTTGATGATGCTGCTGTTGATAATGCTGTTGATGATGCTGTTGATGATGCTGCTGCTGATGATAATGATGATGCTGCTGATAATAATGATGCTGTTGATGATGCTGCTGTTGATAATGCTGTTCATAATGCTGTTGATGATGCTGCTGTTGATAATGCTGTTGATGATGCTGTTGATGATGCTGTTGATGATGCTGCTGCTGATGATGCTGATGTTGATGCTGTTGATTATGCTAGAGGCTACCTGGGGGAGCTTTGTCTGTGTGTGTACATCATAGGTGGTGCTACTCGCTAGTGACATCACTTGCCCCTGCAGCCCTGCTAGAGGCTACCTGGGGGAGCTTTGTCTGTGTGTGGTTTCGATCCCTGGGTCTGGAGAGCAGTGTTACCATGGTAACGGCATGGATCGTGTTACCATGGTAACGGTATGGTGATCATGGTGTTACCATGGTAACTTTACAGTGCTAATGGTAACGTTACTACGGTGATGTTACCATGGTAACGGCATGGATCGTGTTACCATGGTAACACGATCACCATGGTAATATCACGATGGTAACATCATGATTACCGTACCACGGTAAGGTTACCATGGTAACGGTATGGTGATCATGTTACTATGGTAATGGTGATGATGGTGTTACCATGGTAATCGTGGTGTTACCATGGTAACGGTATGGTGATCATGGTGTTACCATGGTAACGTTACAGTGCTAATGGAAACGTACCATGGTAACGTTACCACGGTGACGTTACCACGGTAACGTTACCATTAGCACTGCGACGTTACCATGGTAACGTTACCTCGACGTTGCTGGAGATTCCCCGGCACTCGTCAGTGGCGCCCGAGACGACGTTTCGGGTCACCGATCCTCCCTGGTGCCCACGGCTCCAACCAACAACAACCACAACAACCACCAACTACCACAACTACCACCTCCACCACTACTACCACCACCTCCACCACCACCACTACAACAACCACAACAACAACCAACAACAACAACCACCACCACAACAACCACCACAACTACCACCACCTCCACCACCACCACTACCACCACAACAACCACCAACTCCACCACCACCAACCACCACAACAACAACAACCACCACAACAACAACCACCACTACCACAACAACAACCAACAACTCCACCACCACCAACCACCACAACAACAACCACCACTACCACAACAACAACCACCAACTCCACCACCACAACTACCACCACCACAACTACAACCACCACAACAACAACCACCAACTCCACCACCACCACCAACCACCACACCAACAACAACAACCACCACCACCACCAACCACCAACCACCACCACCACAACTACCACCACCACAACTACCACCACCACTACCACCACCTCCACTACCACCACCACCACCACTACTACCACCACCACAACAACTACCACCACCACCACTACCACCACCACCACCACCACCACCACTACAACCACCACTACCACCACCTCCACTCCGCAAGGACGAGGCGGCCCAACAGCTGTTCCCCACTTCCGGTGAGCACGCGCCCGCCCGCCCCCTCAATATTTACGTCAGATCCGCCTGGCGGCCACATTGGCTAAGGGTGTGATGGCGACCATGTTGGATAGGTGTGTGTGATCGGCAGCCGTCTTAGTCGTATGATCGGCAGCCATGTTGGGTGAGGATGCTATCGACAGCCAAGTCCGGTAGGGATATAACCGGGGTATTCGCTGCCATGTTGGGCAGGGAGATGCCTGTTGGCGGCCATGTTGGGTAAGAACACAGCGAAGGGTTTTTGCGGGCCATGTTGGGCAGGGAGATGCCTATTGGCCGCCATGTTGGGTAGGGAGATGCCTGTTGGTGGCCATGTTGGGTAAGGGTACACTCCGGGGGGTTGCAACCATGTTGGGTGGGGAAAGGACCGCGCGTGGTTCACTTAGACCCAGTCCCGCGAGGGTTGGTGGGTCGCACGCAGATGGAGGAGTGTGAAACTGCCTTTCTCTTCAACCCCGTGTGTGGACTAATCTCCATCTGTTCCATCTCACTCCACCTTCTAACACCGTGTGTGGACTAATCTCCATCTGTTCCATCTCACTCCCTTCTAACACCGTGTGGACTAATCTCCATCTGTTCCATCTCACTCCACCTGCACTGTGTGTGGACTAATCTCCATCTGTTCCATCTCACTCCCTTCTAACACCGTGTGTGGACTAATCTCCATCTGTTCCATCTCACTCCACCTTCTACACCATGTGTGGACTAATCTCCATCTGTTCCATCTCACTCCCTTATACACCGTGTGTGGACTAATCTCCATCTGTTCCATCTCACTCCCTTCTAACACCGTGTGTGGACTAATCTCCATCTGTTCCATCTCACTCCACCTTCTACACCGTGTGTGGACTAATCTCCATCTGTTCCATCTCACTCCCTTCTAACACCATGTGTGGACTAATCTCCATCTCTTCCATCTCACTCCCTTCTACCCGTCTGTGGACTAATCTCCATCTGTTCCATCTCACTCCCTTCTAACACCGTGTGTGGACTAATCTCCATCTGTTCCATCTCACTCCACCTTCTACACCGTGTGTGGACTAATCTCCATCTGTTCCATCTCACTCCCTTCTAACACCGTGAGGGGACTAATCTCCATCTGTTCCATCTCACTCCCTTCTAACACCGTGTGTGGACTAATCTCCATCTGTTCCATCTCACTCCACCTTCTACCCCGTGTGTGGACTAATCTCCATCTGTTCCATCTCACTCCCTTCTAACACCGTGTGTGGTCTAATCTCCATCTGTTCCATCTCACTCCACCTTCTACACCGTGTGTGGACTAATCTCCATCTGTTCCATCTCGCTCCCTTCTACACTGTGTGTGGACTAATCTCCATCTGTTCCATCTCACTCCCTTCTACCCCGTGTGTGGACTAATCTCCATCTGTTCCATCTCACTCCCTTCTAACACCGTGTGTGGACTAATCTCCATCTGTTCCATCTCACTCCCTTCTACACCGTGAGAGGACTAATCTCCATCTGTTCCATCTCGCTCCCTTCTAACACCGTGTGTGGACTAATCTCCATCTGTTCCATCTCACTCCCTTCTACACCGTGTGTGGACTAATCTCCATCTGTTCCATCTCACTCCCTTCTACACCGTGTGTGGGCTAATCTCCATCTGTTCCATCTCACTCCCTTCTACACCGTGAGTGGACTAATCTCCATCTGTTCCATCTTGCTCCACCTTCTACACCGTGTGTGGACTAATCTCCATCTGTTCCATCTCACTCCCTTCTACACCGTGTGTGGACTAATCTCCATCTGTTCCATCTCACTCCCTTCTAACACCGTGTGTGGACTAATCTCCATCTGTTCCATCTCACTCCCTTCTACACCGTGTGTGGACTAATCTCCATCTGTTCCATCTCACTCCCTTCTACACCGTGTGTGGACTAATCTCCATCTGTTCCATCTCACTCCACCTTCTACCCCGTGAGTGGACTAATCTCCATCTGTTCCATCTCACTCCCTTCTACACCGTGTGTGGACTAATCTCCATCTGTTCCATCTCACTCCCTTCTACACCGTGTGTGGACTAATCTCCATCTGTTCCATCTCACTCCACCTTCTAACACCGTGTGTGGACTAATCTCCATCTGTTCCATCTCACTCCCTTCTACACCGTGTGTGGACTAATCTCCATCTGTTCCATCTCACTCCCTTCTACCCCGTGTGTGGACTAATCTCCATCTGTTCCATCTCACTCCACCTTCTACACCGTGTGTGGACTAATCTCCATCTGTTCCATCTCACTCCCTTCTAACACAGTGTGTGGACTAATCTCCATCTGTTCCATCTCACTCCACCTTCTACACCGTGTGTGGACTAATCTCCATCTGTTCCATCTCGCTCCCTTCTAACACCGTGGGTGGACTAATCTCCATCTGTTCCATCTCACTCCCTTCTACCCCGTGTGTGGACTAATCTCCATCTGTTCCATCTCACTCCCTCCGAGTAGCACCACCTATGATGTACACACACAGACAAAGCTCCCCCAGGTAGCCTCTAGCAGGGCTGTAGGGGCAAGTGCTGCTATGAAGGCTGTGGCACACACAGAAGGGGTGGCTGGCCAGCACCACGCCCGCACGACCGCCTTTGTCTCTCCCCAGTGGTGATGTTAAAGACTACACCACTACCACCACCACACTGTAAGCCATCCGTAACCATAATCAGGCACTTTATAAATTAACGAACCTCACCAAAACAAAACACACAACAACAAACACAACAACAAACACAAACAATCACGCACGGTCACGATGACAGTTGGGAATTCTTGGATCAGAGTTGGGAATTCTGGTGTGAGAGTTGGGATTTCTGGGATGGGAGTTGGGATTTCTGGGATGGGAGTTGGGAATTCTGGGATCAGAGTTGGGAATTCTTGGATCAGAGTTGGGAATTCTGGTGTGAGAGTTGGGGATTTCTGGTGTGGGAGTTGGGAATTCTGGGATGTGAGTTGGGAATTCTGGGATGGGAGTTAGGAATTCTGGGATGGGAGTTGGGAATTCTGGGATGGGAGTTGGGAATTCTTGGATCAGAGTTGGGAATTCTGGTGTGAGAGTTGGGATTTCTGGGATGGGAGTTGGGATTTCTGGGATGGGAGTTGGGAATTCTGGGATGGGAGTTGGGAATTCTGTGATCAGAGTTGGGAATTCTTGGATCAGAGTTGGGAATTCTGGTGTGAGAGTTGGGGATTTCTGGTGTGGGAGTTGGGAATTCTGGGATGTGAGTTGGGAATTCTGGGATGGGAGTTGGGAATTCTGGGATGGGAGTTGGGAATTCTTGGATCAGAGTTGGGAATTCTGGTGTGAGAGTTGGGATTTCTGGGATGGGAGTTGGGATTTCTGGGATGGGAGTTGGGAATTATGGGATCAGAGTTGGGAATTCTTGGATCAGAGTTGGGAATTCTGGTGTGAGAGTTGGGGATTTCTGGTGTGGGAGTTGGGAATTCTGGGATGTGAGTTGGGAATTCTGGGATGGGAGTTAGGAATTCTGGGATGGGAGTTGGGAATTCTGGGATGGGAGTTGGGAATTCTTGGATCAGAGTTGGGAATTCTGGTGTGGGAATTGGGATTTCTGGGATGGGAGTTGGGAATTCTGGGATGAGAGTTGGGAATTCTGGTGTCGGAGTTGGGAATTCTGATAATCTTGGATCAGAGTTGGGAATTCTGGTGTGAGAGTTGGGATTTCTGAGATGGGAGTTGAGGAATTCTGGTGTGGGAGTTGGGAATTCTGGGATGGGAGTTGGGAATTCTGATAATCTTGGATCAGAGTTGGGAATTCTGGTGTCGGAGTTGGGGATTTCTGGGATGGGAGTTGGGAATTCTGGGATGGGAGTTGGGAATTTTGGTGTCGGAGTTGGGAATTCTGGGATGGGAGTTGGGAATTTGGTGTCGGAGTTGGGAATTCTGGTAATCTTGGATCAGAGTTTGGAATTCTGGTGTGAGAGTTGGGATTTCTGAGATGGGAGTTGGGAATTCTGGTGTGAGAGTTGAGGAATTCTGGTGTGGGAGTTGGGATTTCTGGGATGGGAGTTGGGAATTCCGGGATGTGAGTTGGGAATTCTGGGATGGGAGTTGGGAATTCTGGGGTGAGATTCAGGAATTCTGGTGTGAGAGTTGGGAATTTTGGGACGAGAGATGGGAATGTCAGGATGAGGGTTGGGAATTCTGTAAATCCCAGTGCCAGCATCCCGTCAGGTCCAGGCGCTCCTTGGACGAAGGAACGACTGGGAGGAGAAACACAACAACACGAACATCACTAACAACATCACTAACAACATCACTAACATCACTAACAACACTAACATCACTATCACCATCACTAACATCACTATCACCATCACTAACAACAACACTAACATCACTAACACATCACTAACAACATCACTAACAACATCACTAACATCACTAACATCACTATCACTATCATCACTAACAACATCACTAACAACATCACTAACAACATCACTAACATCACTAACAACATCACTAACATCACTACCATCACTAACATCATCACTAACATCACTATCACCATCACTAACATCACTATCACCATCACTAACATCATCACTAACATCACTAACATCACTAACATCACTATCATCACTAACATCACTAACATCACTATCATCACTAACAACATCACTAACATCACTATCACCATCACTATCACCATCACTAACATCACTATCACCATCACTAACAACATCATCACTAACATCACTAACATCACTATCATCACTAACATCACTATCACCATCACTAACAACATCACTAAGACCATCACTAACAACATCACTAACAACATCACTAACATCACTAACATCATCACTAACATCACTAACATCACTATCACCATCACTAACATCACTAACATCACTAACAACATCACTAACATCATCACTAACATCACTAACATCACTATCACCATCACTAACATCATCACTATCATCACTAACATCACTAACATCACTATCATCAATAACATCACTAACATCACTATCATCACTAACATCACTATCATCACTAACAACATCACTAACAACACTAACATCATCACTAACATCACTAACAACATCACTAACATCACTAACAACACTAACATCACTAACATCATCACTATCACCATCA